AACCCGACTCACATCCTGTTCCTCCTTTGCAGTTTCTAGCTCCCTTAGAGAAAAGGGCAAATCTTGACAAGGTCCTACATGATGTGTCCCTTGTCACCCAGACCTCATCCTCTTCCTGATCCCCTCCCTCACTCTGCTCCCGCCTCATGAGCCTCCTGGCTGCTTCTCCAACAAATCAGGCATGCTCCTGCCTCAGGGCCCTTGCACTGGCTGCTTCCTCTGCCCAGAATATTCTTCCCCCAGGTACCCACATGACTCACTCCCTCGTCTTCTTCAGGTCTTCGTTCAAATGCCACCTTCTCAAATAGCAGGTCTTTCCTGCCCCACGCCGATCACCCCCATCTGCCTACCCTGCTTAATTTTCCTCCATAGCATTTATCACCAACTAATATTCTACATAATTGAATTTCTACTTGTTTGTTTCTTCCCACCCGCCTCCATGGTCGCCACCCCCAGAAGGTCAGTTTCACGAAGACAAGTGTTTCTGGCCTGTTTTGTTCTCTGCTGTATTCCCTGGGCCTGGGGCCTCATTAAATATTGTTGAATGGATGAATCTGGAGGTGTGGATGCTGCCATACCCCTGGGCTGTCTGGGAAGCTTCAGGGAGCTCTATGATCGGGAATCACCCTGGAAACTGTAGCATGCAATACTACCTTTGTGGGAAACGGGGCAGCTGAGGGTCCTGGTGTTTACAGTCAGATTCCCAGAGCTGGGTCCCGATCAGGGGCTGGGGCAAGAAGGGGAGACGAGGGGGGCTCCCGCATCTGGCTTCAGGCCTCTGACCACAGTGTCAAGTTTGTGGAGAGAAAGATCAGGAAGGCGGTGGGGTCAGTGTGGCCGGAAGTGGCCGGCCCAGTCTTCTGGCCTGAATTATCTGGGAAGAAAAATAATCACATTCCAAGAAACCCATGGCTTGGGCGCCGGAGCCACTTGTGGGGGTGGGGTGAGGAGGCGAGGGGCAAGGCTGGCCGGTAGGTGGTGGCCCTGCCTGAGGCTCAGAGAGGTCAAATGGTCAGGTCGGGGCGACCTCAGATGGCTAGGATTTGGACCAGGCCGGGGGAGGTGCCCCCAGATTGTGAATGGCTGGGGCATGGCAGCCAGGACACAGCTCCTGGGGAGGGGAGACCACCGTTGTAGTCTGGGGTGCAGCTCGGGGACCCTGCAGCTGGCTGTCCACTCCCGTCCCCCAGACCCTGGTGGGGGGCACCTGGCCCACAGAGGGGCTACTGCCCCTACAAGCCACCGATAGGGCCCAAGAGACCTGATGGCCCTTCCTAGGATGGTCCCGAGGCCCAGACCTGGGGAGAATGACAGAGGTAATAATAGTATTGATAAGAGCTCATATTATAGACTCTTTCCTGTACTGTCTCATTTTACTCTCACATCACCTCATGAAGAGGTCACCCCATTGCCATCGCAGGTCCCCAAGGACCTGTGGGGTCGGCCTCCATCTCACTCCTACCACCCAGATCCTTAAACACTCTCTTCCAGCCACACTGGCCTCTTTGCTGTTCTGTCATCCCATCAAACTCATGCCAGCCTCAGGACCTTTGCACCTGCTGTTCCCTCTGCCAATTCTTTCTCTAATCAGCACTCAGCTCAGATGTTACCTCCTCAGAGGTCTTCTCTGACCACACATCTAAAGCAGTTCCCTGCCCTTTCTCCTATCACATGAGCTCACTGTACTGTTTTTAGTGCCCCAATCCAGTTGTTAAATTATCTTGTATATTCATTATTTCCTTACTCTGTGTCTCCCATGCCCGGAATGACAGCAGTGTAAGGGCAAGGGACTTTTCTGCTCTATCCTCTTCTGCACCCCCAGTGCCTGGCACAGAAGAAGCCCTCCCAATATGTGTTGAATGAACAAGTGTCAAAGAGACAGACATGTCCTCTCTCTGTGCCTCACTCGTGACTGGATGTGCCAACAAGGCTACCTTTTAGGAAAGATCTCATTTCATCCAGGCTGGACTCCAACACAGGATGGGTTGGGGGTGCTTCTGTGGCCCCCAAATCACGGCCTTTCTCTGAGGGCAGGGCTGATGTTCCTGGAACTTCCTGCCCACTCTGGCCCAGGGAAGTCAGATGTCAGCTCAGCTCCCCCTCTCCACCCCATGCCTCTTGACAAGCCTACGTGGACTCTGAGCCAGTTTGTAGAACACAGACAAGGGGGCTCAGGCCAGATGTGGGGGGATGTCTGGGGCTGTGCAGGGGCCCTGACAGCCAGAGGTAGAACTGGAAACTCATTCCCAGCCGGCCTACTATGGCTGAGGCCAGAGCATGTGTGGGAGAGGCCTGAGATCAAGCTGATGAAACCAGAGCAGGAGCAGCTGGACTGGGTCTGTTCATTCATTCATTCATTCTTCATCAGGCATCGCCCCTGTGCCCAGCACAGCACATCCGTGTGTCTACTTATCCATCCGTTCAGGCACTGTGGACTTTTAATGTGATGATGTGACATACATCTTCCTACCCCAGGGCCTTTGCTCTTGATGTTTCTTTCACCTGGAACTGTCCACCCTGCCAGGTTCTGGGCACGGCAGGCCCTTCACACACTTGGGAGTCACCTGCTCAGAGAGGCCCTTCCATCCCCTTCATTTACTTAGGTATGTGCTTAATGCTTCAAAAATGACATTGTCCATTGTCCATCTCCCCCATTCAAACATCAGCTCTGCGAAGGCAGGGGCTCTTTGTTTTGTTCCTGGCTATGTCCCCAGCAGAGTGGTCAGCACAGAGAAAGCACTTGGTAAATGCTTGTTGGATGAATGCTCTCCTGGGAAAGCTCAGGGATGGGGGTGGTTCCTAAGCCAGAGGATGGGGTGACCTGCAAATTGGGGCCTGGAGGGAGCCTGGTGGGGGCGGCGGGGGGGGCAGGTGCGGAAACAGAGGGACATGGTTTTATCTCAAAATGCCTTCCTCCAAGGCAGCATTAAAAGGTAGATCAGAGGGGCGCCTGGGTGGCTCAGTCGGTTAAGCGACTGCCTTCGGCTCGGGTCATGATCCTGGAGTCCCGGGATCGAGTCCCGGGATCGAGTCCTGCATCAGGCTCCCTGCTCGGCGGGGAGCCTGCTTCTCCCTCTGACCCTCCCCCGTCTTATGTGCTCTCTCTCTCTCTCTCATTCTGTCTCAAATAAATAAATAAAATCTTTAAAAAAAAAGGTAGATCAGAGGTGGCAAGTGGTGATTAAAAGTTAAAAAAAAAAAAAAGCCTTTAATCCATTGCCACCATAAAAATTGAGATATTTTACTAAATCCTGATGTCTGGCTTCTCTCTTGAAAAATCAAAAGATGTGGCCATCCTGAGCCCATATTCCAGGGGCAAATAGGTCAAGTTTCCAGTTCGCAGCGGCCCCCATCAGGCCCTTGGGGCGTTTGGGTTTGTGACCGCCCCAGCCAGAGGCTGCAGGAGTGTAGCTAGGGTGCACCAGGGGTAGAGCTCCTCCAGGTACGGGGGAGGAGGTTGCACACCCTGTTCCCGGGTTTCCTGCAGGGCCCCTTTTGCCCAGTGCACACAGGCAGACGCCTGAGAGCCCAGCTTAGAAGTGGTTCCTCCCTGCCACATCTGTCCCTGGGGCCGGGCTGGGAACCGAGGTGTGGCCCGCCGCGCCGGTGCAGCGGTCCGCAGCGCGCGGGCGCCCTCTGCTGGCCCATAGCGGGCGTGCAGGTCTGAGCCAGAACTGGGCACCAAGGGTCAGGAGACCTGGGAAATTTCTTTTCTATTCTGTTCAGTAGCTAACTAACGTTTCCCGAGGGTTTGCTGTGTGCTGAGGACTGTAAGAATCCCACTACACGTAAAACCTCTGGTAATCCTTAGAGCAACCCTGTGGAGTGGATACAGAGAGATTAAGGAGCCGGCCCAGGGCCACACAGCGGGTACACAGATGAGCTGGGGTTGGCCCACCCGACTCCTGGCCCCGGGGCCCTGCACTGGGGTCCGGTGAAGTAGATTACGTGAAGATCTCACCTCTGCTCACACATTTCCATCTACTCAGCATTTACAAGCTTCACCTGGAAGGGCCAAACTCAGCCGATTCCTCCACCCACTCACCCACCCACCCTGCTGCCCAAATGTCATTTAGTGAGTTCATGGCAGAGGCAGGTGGAAGTGTCCCAGGCCACTGAGACCCTCCCCTCCCCCAGCTTCTCACTGTCCATGGCTGGAAGAGGAAGGCCCAGGTCCAGCTCTGAGGAGTCAATTCACGTGCTCATTTAATGTGTTCTAACTTCAGCATTGCTTTTTGGTATTGGGGGGCACAGCAGGGAACACACCAGATGAGGCACTCGCCTGCCTGAGATCCACTCCAGCGAGGGAAAGAGGAATAACTAAACCAATACAACAGATCGTAAGATATTAGTAATTGCCAAGAACAACACACAATCAGGCGATGTGAACGGAGAAGGGTGGGGGCTGGGAAGGCCTCTCTGGAGAGGACACACATGAGCTGCTGTCCTGGGGCTGGGGAGCCGGCCACACAGAGAAGAGCGAAGGCCACTCCAGGGTGGGTTTGTGTGTGGAGACGGGGCACAGCTGAGAGCCCAGGACGCTGGCGGTGGCTTGGGCTGGGAAGGTAGTGGATGTGAGAACTGGCTTCCAGAAGCACGATGTTTCTTAGTGCACCTACTCATTGGCACGAGGTCTGTGCTTTCCCAAGCACCGCCGGGGGCAGGGCACACAGGAACCCACACCCCGTCACGCAGCAAGCTCTGGGTGGGGTCAGGAAGCCACTCTGCTGACCACGTGCCTGTCCCCTATTCATTTACGGGACTCTGAGATAGGCCTTGAGCAGGGACTGAAAAGGTCCCCAGCCGACCACAACGGAAGGGTTCCCAATTTGAGCTACTCGTACCACAGGGCCCTTGACGGCTGGTGAGGGTGGCCACCCGTCAGCCAACCCTGTCAAGTAGACCTATTTATGCTTCAGATGCCCGTCTCGGACAGTAAGAACCCCTTTAGGTAAGGCACTCGCACGGATCAGTAGGAGAAAGGAACAAAGAGGACACAGTCGAGAGGGAAAAACCAGGACTTTTCAACTTGAGAAGGCACACCCTCACCCATGAGAACATGCACATGAAACTACGGGACAGCCGCTCAGCTCAGAGAGGGGCAGGCAGGTGAGAACGGGCCCATGTCATAGAGCAGCTGGAGGCCTCACAGAACGATGAGAGACAGGGAGGGGGGGACCTGTCCCCCATGTTGATGGAAAGGGGTGAGTTGATGCGTCTCTGGTAGACAGCTTGGAAGTCCGCAGAGGGAGAAGCCCACTCCCAGGACTTGACTCCACAGATGTGCACCTGCACGTGCATGTGCGCGCACACACAAATGCGTTGCAGAACATCAGGGACCACCTCCGTGTCCATGAGGGCCGGGCCACCCGGGTGGGGGCAAGCCATGTACTGGGTGCTCAGCCGCTGTTCAGAACCGCACGCTGTTCCCTCCGTGCCGCTCCACGGCGACCTTGAGAGCCTGTTTGGGAGGAAAACATCCAGGGCAGGAGCGAAGTGGAGACCACCTTCCCAGTTACGCTAAACACAACGGTGGGAAGGAGAGATGAGGAGAGGACGAGGGAGCATGGGTCTGCACACGCGTACTGGATCTCAGAGGGACCCACAGCCCAGGTGCTGGTCTGGAGAGGACGGGGTCAGAAGTGGGAGAGGACCTCACCTTTCATTCTATTCCCTTTCTACTGTCTGAAGTACTTCCTAGGTCCACGTATTCTCTTTCGTCAAGACAGAAATGGGAGTCTCCAGCTCAGGTGTGCAGATGAGTGTCTTTCGCAGGGGATGTGATGTGCTTCCGTCCTTTGCCACCAGCGTGGCCATCTCCTCTGCCCTTATCACAACTGACAATACAGTCTGCTTCTCACCAACTGGACACTTTCACATCTTAACATTTCTGGATTGGGACATTCCTTATAATCAGTAGGGTCTCTTTTTTAAAAAAAGATTTTATTTGACAGAGAGAGAGAGAGGGCGCGTGCGCACGCACAAGCAGGGGGAGCAGCAGAGAGAGAGGGAGAAGCGGGCTCCCTGATGCGGGACTTGATCCCAGGACCCTAGGACCATGACCTGAGCTGAAGGCAGACGCTTAACGACTGAGCCACCCCCAGGCGCCCCAATCAGTAGGGCCTTACACTTGTAACTGACAGCATTTTTTTCTTGGTGGTACATAAAATAATGGTACATCTCAGTGGACTGCATTTGACACAGTGAAACCTGGGTCTCTCTCCCGTGGGTCCTGCAGCAACTCTGGTTTCTTAGAACCTTCCTCCTGTGCCACAGGTGGTGCTGCCCCTGCTCTGACCCCTGGCATGTCCTGGGGGGCAAAGGCCACCATGATCACCATCTTGGGAGGGTCAAGGTGCAGCCGGTGACAGAGCCTTAGGGCCGAACAGCTCTCCCGTGGCCTGCTGGCTGCATCGGCACTTTGTTCTGCGCACGGAATGAAAAGTTGGTCAGTCGACACACTAGTGTTGGGAGATCTCACATAAAAATCTGCATTGTTTGTCTTGCAATCAAAGAGCTGGCATTCACTGAGTCCACATCCCTAGCACACGTACCCATCCC